GCTCTTTTGGCCATAATTAAAAAGCCCCAACCTAATGGGCCCAATGCTCTCCCGACTTTCCCCGTCTCGGCAAACCACTGCCACAAGCAGACTCACCCAATCCACTGGGATGTGGGCAGAGAGCTGTGGGCGGTGGGCTGTGGCCTGTGGGCTGCGGGTTGTGTCTGGGCCTGGGACACTGCAAAAGTCTATTAACGTACATGAAACTGTTAATTTCGCTGATGCAATTTCGGCTCAATTTATTGTGCACCCACAAAACACAATAAAAAAAAAGTGAATGGGGCGAGCAAACGAGGAAAACGAGCCGAAATTGAAAAGCCAAAGTACATAACAACAAGCTGGCGGCCGACGCATGGCCCCCAAATGCCAATCCCAGGCGCGAAAATCAATATAAATATGCTCGGCACATGGCCATGGAGCCACCACTCCGCCCCCTCAGTCCACAAAGCCTCTCCTTATCCCTGTGTCCCTGTACCCCCGTTTCCTCCCCTCTGCAGAGTGCCTCTTCTGCTCTCGGAACATGACAATTTATGTGCATTTTGTATGCAGCCGGCTAAATAGACAAGGCTAGGCGACGTCCATGCTCGCGTTTGTGCCTGCACTTAACAAAAATATATACCAAACTTGGCAGAAAAAAGTTTAGGTTTACTCACTTTATTGAGAACATTTCCGCATTTCTGCTATTCAGAATTCAGAGAGTCAGGGTATTGAGACACAAATTTCTCTCAGTGTGTGCGTGCGCCGGCTGATGGGATGCAGCATAATACAATGCCTGTGCCAAGGACACCGAGGAGCAAACGCGAATGCAACCCCAAACCCGTAAACGCCCGCTCACACGTAACGATAAAACTTGAAAATGCTGTTAGCTACGAAAATTTGCTGTCGGACTTTTTAGTCCGGGAGTAGGCCTAATTTGACTGTCGCCCCCCTTTTGGACTTCTACCACCTTTTTCGCACACCCACACGCACACATGCATGAGCAGCGGAAATGCACGCACCATTGCATCAGTATCTGTATGCGTGCAATTGCAAATTTATGCACTGCGCTGTAAACAAGGCAAACATTTCCGCCATCGAGTGTGCGAGTGCGAAATTCGAATGCGTCGCACAATTGTGAATTATTTACAGCATACTTTGGGGCGAGTGGCGCGGTGACTTTGACTCGATTCGACTCGTTTTGGATACGATTCCATTCCATTCGATTCGATTCGATTCGATTCGATACCATGTGAGCCTGGTCAGCGACAAACCTAATTACAGTAGCTGGACTGCCAAACCATTGGGACGTGGGCAAAAAGGACACAGGACCCATCGAACCTGTACAGCCTTTGTCGACTCGTTTAGCCGCGCAAATTGCTGTCCATTCAGTTAGCTTTTTGGAGCCCTTTGCCGCACGCACACACCTCGCTGAATTCAACAGCAGTGGGCCACATAACTTTCGATCCCACCGACAACTGACTTTTCAACTCCAGCTGAAAATTCTACTGCTCCTTTCTTTCCCCCAGTACCCACTACAGTCAAGTGGACAAACGTCAGGGTGGAAGCTCCTTTTGGAGCAACAAAAAAGTGGGTAAAAACTGCCTGCTGCCTGCTGCAAAATATTGTGCAATGCGCTGCCAAATAGCAAAACAAAATAAAAGTTGCCAGAAACCAGTGATGCCAACAGGCAACATAAAAAGCCAAATGATGAGTCAACGAAATGGGGCAGCACTTTCTGAAGAGAAAAAAGAATTTTGATATTGGTATCTTTAGTGCCTGAACTGGAAATACTCACCTTTTCACAAGGGAAAATGACTAGTTATGGCTACTTTTCTTGTATTTTAATATCTAGGTTAGCATGCAATGAATTTGTTTAAAAATACTTTTAAATTTATTATTTTGATAACAGCAGCGTAATAATTACAAGCATTGTTGCCAACTTTCCTTTCCTTTTCAGCTCACATACACAGTTTATCTTTTCCAATCTATTTAGTTAATCCCAAAACAGTGACATTAATCCCAAGGCAAGCTGCCTGTTTTAATACTAATAAGGTATAAGGTGTAAGGTAGCTGCAAGCATTATCTTAACCTTATTTAATTTATGGCCTATTGTTTGGCTACGTAAGCAGGCTACTTTAGGCCTTTTCTTTTATGAGATTAATAAACAGGACTTGATTTTTGCTTATGATTACCAATTTCCGTAAATTTTACATCAGTTAATTAACACATTTTCTATGATTATCGATTTAACTAACTTAGCTAGCTTAATCCAAAAAAAGTTGACGAATCTTTAATGTAGGTATCTGTAAGTACATTTTTGATTATTATACCTTAGATTGGGAAAGATTATATGTCCATTTCCAAGACGAAACTTTTAAAACATATAGGACGAAATGTCAGCACTTTCAGAAAGCATAAAGGAGCAACGTCGAATCTTGAATACTGGTAAACTATCAGTAAAACGCAGCATTCTCTAGTTATGGTTTCTGACATTATATTTAATAATGTAAAATTACCTATTTAAGGATTTAAAGTCGATAATATTAAACTCCTGGTATGTTTTGCTTCCTTATTAATATGTACACATAGAAAACCTAAAAAGATCCCCACACTTAAAAAAGTAGTAAAATATTTAAGTATAAATAAAATATATAGTTTATAGTTTAATAATACTAAATTTCATAGCTCAAACATGACCAACTAACTAAATATACCCCACTGGTATCCATTTTGGCGGAGATGAGTACATCGAGTGTAAACAGCAACAACGAAAAACCTTTAACGGCAAATGTCGAACCTCGACCCTCGACTGTCGAACGTTGGGCGATGGTCGTTGGAAGTTGGTAGTTGGCAGCGGACCTGGTTTGGGCCTGCTTTTCGACGGGCCCAAATGCGTTTGTCTGTCCCTGCGCTGTGTCTGCCGCCTGTTTTATTTTACTTTTGCATATTTTTTGGCGTGTTTCAACTATACTGCGGCGCTGTCTCTACATTTTTCAAGTTGTCTGCGTTTGACGTGCACGGATGGGCGCTCCACTGCGTCGGCGGTGGGCAATGGCGGGGTGGATGGGTAGTCAGGGTCGTGGTGGCAGAGCGGCAAGGACGGCGCGGTTGGCGTAGTTACAGTTTTGCCCATCGAATGGTTTTCCCCGCGCTCCTTGATGCGGTTGTGGTTCGTTGCTTGGTTATCGCCAGCGCCACTACTCACACAGCCGAAGACCACTGACTGCACTACTACTAGTGCAGCGGCAACTGCAGATGCACTCAAGGAAATTTTTGACCATTTCGTGCTTTAAGAATGTATTTGAATGTAAAACAGTAACGGGTCTCGGCACTCGACTCTAGCGTTTCTTCTTGTTTTAATTGTGAAGTTGATCAAGATTATATAAAATCAAGAGACTTTAAAAACTCTTACGAGACATTGAATACTTTTTAATTATTATTTATATATACCAGTAATTTTTTAAGCTTAAATATCTTTTGATTTTGAACCTAAATTACTTGACCAATTAGTTAAGTTTAAGTCCAAAAAACACTTTAACTCTTTCTTCCATTTCATAATGCAAATATTATCTAATCATAATTATTATAAATTTAAAAAAACCCACCAAGAAAAAACTTTTTCCGAGTGCAGACCAACAGAGGCGCAACAACGACTTGGGTGCTGTCGGTGAGCCTGTTTTTTAGTGCCTTCCGTAACCATTAAATTTTACGTTTTTATTAGCGCGCACTGGCACACACACTCTCTCACAGACATACAGAGGAGGGAAAGGACGAGCTCTGTCAGATAGGCCGCCAAACACCCACCAGCACCCACCACCACCCACCTCCACCCACTCCGCCAACAATTTTTGAATATTTCCGTTTTGGCTGGCAGTTTTCGGTTTTCGGCTTGTCTACAAAATGCAGTTTTGCATGCACTTTGGCCTCGGCGCAAAAAGTCAACCGAAAAGAGACAATAATAAGTGCACAGCACAAAGAACGGAAGAACGAAAAAGGGGGATAAAAAACAGAAAAGCGAAAAAGAAAACCAAGGAACACGGAAAATTGCATTGCGCTCAGAAGTATGCAATGGTTTTTGGTTTTTCTTTTTCACTGCCTTATCAACGTCTCAAAATCGGTTAAGGTTGATATGAATGAGCAGAGGAGAGAGGAGAGGTGTGCCGTTGGGGGGAAAAGTTAGCTGAGATAGCGAAATGTTGTCGCCCAACAAGGACCTGAATATTTTCACTATTTTCGGGGCCTGCAGCTTACAAAAAACGAACAAAGTAGAACAAAACGCAGTCCAAAAACTTTAAGGAACTTCGAACACAAGTTCGAGTTGCGGTCGTGGGCGGTTCCAAGTCAGTTGTGGCAGCCAAAAACATGTTGCATGTCACAGGGGAATGTCTGAATTTGTGTGAGTGATGCCAAAAATAACTCAAACCTTACAGACACCCTTACAAAAAGCTCAAACCCTTCCGTCCCAACATGTTCGTTCATTCCTTGTCGAGCTGCCAACTGGTTTGAAATCCACAATAACCAGGTTGCAGGGTAAAAATACTTTAAAAAAGCTCTTATACTGTCCGCTAAGCTCTCAATTAAGTTTTAAACTATATTAACAGTTTAAATAATGATAAAAAAAATATAAAATAAATATAGTTGGTAATTAAAAGTTATTTTAAAGGGTGTTCATTTTAAAAAACTGTTTGAACAACTTCTTTAGCTTTGCTAAAAACCACTCAAAGAAGAAATGCAACTCATTATGCAATTTGTTGGAGCTTAGACGAAACTTAAGAGCTAAACATAAAATGTAGAATTTCTGATTGCGTTTAACAACAATATTTACACATAGCTTTAGTAGATAGAAAATAACTCCCAGACCTTCTTTTATATTTACTTTTATTGCCTATATTTACAAAATATGTCATTAGGGCTCTCTAAACATAATATAATAAGCCCTTAATAAATACTAATCAGGACCAAAAAACCGCACTAAAGGATCAATTAGTACTTGAAAACTCATTTATGCTTTACCATACTCCCAACTTAGTAGACCCGCCAGAAGACTCAAAGTAACGCTCAACGTTTCGGAACATCCGCACCAAAATTGCCCGTAACGAAAATTCGAACCCCAGTCGGATTCATCTGCCACCAACTAGGACCCTCGCACAGAATAGGAGACACTGGACCCACAGGACATTATGGAGTTCTGCCAAAAGCTGCGAGGGCAGTTAAGCGAGTTCTTCTTCATGAACTACCCCTATATAGCATTCTACAGCGGAATGGGCATGGCAGTAACAGCCTATCTACACTATCAGTGGAAGATGCATCACTACGACCTGATGTACTGGAAACATTTGGCGGAGGCGCTCTCGCAGGATTTCGATTACTTCCAGCTGGCAATGCTCCTGGTGATATTCGCGATCAATGCAATTTTTGTGTCTATCATACTGAGCGTGTATCTGCGCCCAGCACTCGATAATAATGGTGAGATGTCCTTGCTGGAGATCAAGGATCGCTATGCCCGATTTATCTTGCTACGCCTGATAGCCCGGCTCGATCGCATCCAATCGAAGATCTCGGCGAAACGCAAGGTTCTTACGTTCTCACATTATGCCAGGGCACACACGAACATGGTCAAGGCTGTGGCCATGTTTCGCAAGGATGCCCGCAAGCTGATCCTGCCCAACGAATCGGAGATCCTAATGCCCATCGAGGACATCTACGGCGTGGCCGAGGATGAAGAGCGACTTCTTCGTCGTTCCGGCTACTACAAACTGATCATCGACACCACCGACGAGACAGTTAAGGCTCTGTTCAACGCCAAGTGAGAAGAGATCGTATCCTGCAAAATCACAATCCCCAGCCGCTATCTGATCTGGTTCCGATTCAAAACTTTGAGTAAACTGCAGTCCGCCACTAATTGCCTTTATCTACTTCTGCACCGAATACCCCTCCTTAAAGCCATTTTATTGTTTCAATTGTTTGCCTTTGCCAGCTTTTTATGGCCGCATTGTGCGCCAGGCCAACAATAACAGGCCAGTCGGAGACTGTCAGCCATCCCCCAATAACAATAATAGCAAAAGCAAAAGAAACGGCAACAGAAACAGAAACAGAAACCGGAGCAGTTGCAGAACCAGAAACAAAACTCCAACTCCAACCAGAAACAGAAGCAGAAACTAAAACTAAAATGCCAGCCCATGTCTGTACAGCTCAAAACAATATCTAATGTTGTCTACGGCAAAATATTTTGCAGGCGTCTTTTTGTTTTGCCCGCTTTTTGTGTCCTTCAGGCTTTTGTGTTCCAACTTGTCTTTAAAATTAGCTAAAAGGTTGTATAAATTAAAGTCAAAGTGGGGAAAACGGTGGAAGCTCCTTCGAAGAAGATGCTTCTTCGGGGTATGACTTGGGTACAATTAGCAGAGAAGGCCTAACAGTTTACTTTAACTTGTCCTATTATAGGGGATTTAAGGTAGATAACTTCTGCATAGAAATTCAATTTAAAGAATAATTCCAGTAGAAATATTTCAAAATAAATTTGTAATCCATATATTTTTACCATAACTCTTTAACCTTTAAACCTTCTTTCCCATTCTATATTTTCTGGTATTAAATGTGAATGTCAAATGTTAACCTTAGGCTTAATTTCGCTCTCCCCTGAAAGTTGTGCCCGCCAATTACATATGTAACTTATATCCTTGCCAAGGACTTCAAAGCATTGCTCGCTTCGGTGGGCGCCAAAAAGCAGGCAACAAAAGTCTTGATAATGAAAAGGCAACGAGAACACGCACTTTTAACTTCATTTTTGAAGCTAATACGCGAATGGCCAAAAAGTGACAGCCTAATTTCGGTTAATGTGCCGTGTCCTTTGCTTTTGGCCATAAATACGCGCAGCACGTGTGTGTTCGTTGGCCGGAATGTGGCAAACTGCATTACTTCATTCACAATGCGCTCGTTTTTTGTTGAGTTTTTCGTTCTTTTTTTTGTAATTTTTTTCACGAGAGCGGTGGACCCGCCCACCTCCCGGCGAAAAAGACATTAAGTAGATTATGGTCTGATTGCATATTTGCGGATATGCGCGCCATAAACACGTTCAGACGTGCTGCAACCGCAACAACGCCGAATCGCGAAAAACACGGCAGCGCAACAGCCGAAGCCAACGCGGAAAAAAATTCACATGACTGTGTTACAAAACAAAACAAAACAAAAACAAAAATCAAAAGGGAAAAATACAAAATAAAACTTAACAAGAGCATAAAGAGCGGGGAGCCGAGAGAAAAGAAACGCGAACAAAACATGAAAACGTACGCGCATCTAACCGCAGACAAAATGACGCCTCGCCACGCCCACCTATTCTCACTGCCCTCTTAAGAGCCTTACACAGAGGGAAATTTCTGTTTTATTCGAGACCCATCAAGCTGATTTGGAAACTGTCAAAGTTTGAAAAGTTAACACGACAACGTACTCTCAGTTATGTATTTAAAATATTTATAAGTTTTTAGAACAAACAAACATTATTAATATGAAAATATAAGGGAAAGAAATTTATTACAAAATATATAAATTATTAAACATAATCTGATGCGATTTTGCTAAGAAAATAATACGAAACAAACCACTAAACCCCTTCTAACTATCGAACTATGCATAGAGGGTTGCTTAATTCGCAACAAAATTGTTTTTAATATTTTTCCATGTTAAATAAACACATTTTTGTAAGACTTACTCTTTTTGGTATGTTTTTTGAGCCATTAATGCATGCAGATAATTTTCCTCTTTGAACCGAAGCAGTACCATTAATCGACATTAGTTTCTATTCTAAACCCCCCTGAATATTAATTTTTAAAAATAGAAGGCAATTTTTGGCCGTGCAACCATCTGCAGCTTTGCCTTTGGCTTCTGCTTCTGCTTTTGGCTTGGCGGAAAAGAACAACAAAGGCAGCCCAGCGTCTATGGCTATGGCTATGTCTATGTCTATGGCTGTATTTGTGTCTGCCGGAAGCAGAGAAAATTTTTGAAAAACACATGTAGCTTCCCCGTGAGTCCAAGTGTGTCTTTGTGTGTGTTTATTTGGGCATGTTTACGTGTGTGTGTGTGTGTCATAAACCCAAATAGCAGCTATTACTTTATCGCCGAGGCAACACCACAAAATGGCTGTCTATTGCAGCTAAATGCTGCCAGCGGCTTTCCCTTACATGTGTGTAAGTGTAGGCGGGTGGGTGGTTGGAGGTGCTTGTGATGTTGGTGGTTCGATGGATGGGGCATTAATTCGTTCAGGTGGAAAACGGCAAACGACCCGCAAGCAATAAACAAATAATCATAAATAATGTTGCCTTTTTAACATCGACTCTAAATTAGCTATTAATTGCCCCGCCGTCACCACTAATGCCCACCCGCATTGTGGGTCAGACCACCTACCCCCTCCCCACGCCAACGGGTGGTTTTTGGAGGCCATTCCAATCACAGCTGGTTCAATTAGGCTTACGCCTTTGTATGCAAATGTTGAGCTATATTAGCATACTGCTGGTCGGTATTTCGCCAAAGTGCGAACTATGGGTTGGATTCGGGATGAGTGCGGCTCTTCTTGGATGGTGGATAGAACAGGAACTTTTTCTCCTTCTTCTTACGCTTACTTATTATTATTCCTTCTTATGAAAATGATTCCTGATTATTGTTAAATAACTTTTAATAACTTGTGCTAATGGGAAACAAGATAAGGGTTTGTGTCTCTTTATGGCTACCGGAATACCCTGCAAACATCAGACTTCCTAGAAAACGTATCCAACGTTAAATTAAGCTGATTTCTTGAATGCTAAATATTTATTTAGCGAACTCTTTAAGTTAACAGCCAGTCAGTAATAGCAGTCGGAGGCTTGATAAGTTTTTATATAAATATTTAAGTAGCCGTTGCTGTTTTTGCTAGAGGGAACAGAAAGGTACTTAAAAATGAACTGGAATTTATTATTATACATCTTTTTTGAGGAAGGAATTTAAGGAAAAGCATTGATCGATTGTGAATTGGTTTCTTTTCAGTGAAGATATTTTTTCTTTTTGTAGAAACTGCTTAGAACATGTGTGTTGCTTGGGCTAGAACTAAAATCATCGAATTGTAAAGACTAAATACCATTCCGATTAATTATATATTTTCAATAAAATACAAACACTTTTCATTAATCAAATATGTATTAAAGTTTGATTAATACAAAGCCTTCCTAAGATATGAAATTGATACCTAAAATAAAATGATTTTCTGCCAAAGCTAATTAGAAAATAAATAACTAATGAGAGGAAAGCTGCTCATCAAGATCTATTTTAATTAACAACCACAATTTGAGCCATAAAGGACTCTACCATAACTTACAATGAACAATTATTAAAGCATCCCAATCCTAGGTGAGGGCTTTAAGAATCTGTCAGAGCGACGGGCCCACTGTGCCTGGTGAGGGGCACTTTAAATTTGATTTGATATGATTGCCATGCAGAGGATAATTTCACAGCATGAGTTACAGGAGAGCAGTCGGGCAGGCGGGAGAGGATGAGCATGAGGATGAGGCTGGCTTAGCATATGCACACGGACTTCAATCAGCTATGTAAAATCTATGTAAAATATTTATATTGCACTGATGCATCCTGGGGGAGTCGAGTCGATCTGGCTGCGTGCGTATATATCCGTAATCAGGAGCACGAGCTCGGCATGCCCTCAAGGATCTCAAGGAGTGGCTGCACGGAATTTGCATAAACATTGCAGATACATGCTGGCCAGATGAGATGCATTCTACTTCTACCGCCGCACACCGCGCCTTTCCCCTTCTTGCACGCCACTTGTTATGACATTTTGATTATTTATTTAGACAAAAGAGTTGGCCAGCCAGTCGTTGGTCTTCGGTAAGACTTCCCCAGAAAGGCCAACGCAAATAGTTTGTTTTGGAAGAAGAAACCCTGGAATTATTATCAAATAAATAAGTGCTCGAGTAAACAGAAGGCTGAAGAAGCCGAAGCCGAAGTCGAAGCCGATTCGGAAAACTTTCAAGTGCTTCTCTTGTTGTTGTTGTTGTTGTTGTTGGCAACACAAACACACACATAATCACACACACGGATACAAACTGATAGCTCATGTGCGTCCTTATGGCTAGCAACTTTGTCTGGAAATCTGCCTTTGAGTTGCCTCAAATGCGGCATAAGTAAATGTTGGCAAATAAATATGCATGCCCAAATGGAGATAGCCAAAACACCATGTTCCCTGCATTTTTCATGGCTTACGGTGCGTATACGTACCGTATTTATTGGTCAGCCCAATTGCGGCCAGCATAAATCACTTAAAATTTGTGCCAAACAAATACGGCAAAAGCCACAGGATGCTGGATATTCATGGCAAAAGTCAGAGGCAAAAATGCTTATGCAAGCTAAACAAGTTTAAATATTTATGCAAATCAACTGCAAGTGAAACATTTTTAAACTTTAATGGCCATAAATGCCTTAAATGGCCGAAGCAAAACGTTTCGAAATTAAAGAAAACTTTAAATAATTGAAGCTATCAAGTGGACGAAAAATTGCCCAGTATAAGCAAGCAAATTGTAGGTAATATTGTGTGGAAGAAATTAAAACAGGGAAAATATGAAGTTAAATTAAGTTAGGAAAACGTTTTTGATTGAGGGAGTTTGATTTATAAGGGAATTAAGAGAACCTTTGACGATTGCTTAAACTAAAGGATATTTGGAAGTAACTTTATCATTAAATCGAATCAAAAATCTAGAATAACTTAGAGGTAAAATCACTTTTAATGCTTCTCAATTCCACAAACAAAATATAACTTAATTCCAACTAATAAAATTATAAAACAATAATAAAAAACAAACTTAAATGAAGCCAGACGAATGGGTTTCGCAATCTGCCAGAAAATCCCCCAGACGAAAGAGTTTGATTTAAAAAGTAGTTTATATGTGAAGGAATAAAACGTGGATTAAAACCCAGCCCCTCGATCTGAGTTTTTGGGTTGTGAAAATGGCAGAGAGAGCCTCGAGGCGCATATGCAAAATGAAAACTTTGCTGCTGCCGCAGGCCACTCAGCCAACTGCAGATCCCAGACCAATGTGTCGTATGCGCAACGTAGAACTTGGCCAGGCGTAAATGGATGCATCTTGGCAGCAGGCGTGAGTGCCACACACACACACGCACACACTTACAACACAAAGACACTTACGAGAGGGAGGGGGAGAAACGCTCAAACAAAACATGATAACAATTAAAACTTTGTACACTTGGCGTATTTACATTATTCATTTTGGTGTTGGATTCTCTTGTCACATTCCACATACCACTTCTCCTGCACTCATTTTTTATGCTCCTTCCTTTGTTGCATGCCACATTCATCTGCAGACATATCTATCTGCATGTGTCCATGGATCCGGAACAGCCAGAGATGGAAGTTATATTAACTTAATATTTAACAAACAAATTATAAATGATATAGCTGTGCCTTGGAAGCACGAACTATAGAATTTATGATGGCCACTTAGGTTAATATGTTAGTAAAATATAGCAATGTTTAATATATAAAATTTAATGATATTTAATCAATTTATTTGATTTAAAGATGTTTGATATTTTAGCTTACAAAAATATATGAATTATTCACATTCTTTCCTAGTTAAGTTAACTTCAATTTTGGAATAAAGCTTCGGATGTTTATTCAGAAACTCTACAACTTTAAAAGCTAAAATCAGTCTTTAAATATTTTTATAAAAAATATATCTAAAGTACTCATAACTATGCCCATCACTGGCTGCAACTGCGCATTTGTTAGTACTTTCTTTTTGGCCACTTGAATGATGCCAAGCCATCAAGAAAGTGTGTAATCCAATGCTTAAAATAAGGCAAGAGCGAAGAGAAGAGAGAGAGAGAGCGGTAGCGAAGCCAGACAGGGACAGCATGTTAAGCACTTAATGACATTTTAAAATAAATGTTAAATTTATGACAAAACGTAATTACCGACCGGACCTCGGCTTGGACTCCTGGACAACAGCTACAGGTTCGCGGCGCATGAAATATGAAACCATAATTACTTTAATTAAGCAAATATTTTGTGCCCCCAATTCTTTTCATTATTTGGGCGAGCTGGAGGGGTGGAGAGATGGTGAGAGACGGTGGGGCAGGGCGTGAGGCATTGATTGAGAGTATTTATTAAATGGCTATTATTGTTCGCACATCGCACGGTGCTCGGCCATAAATTGATGCATTTTAATTATCGCTTAAAAGGCCGGCACTCGTTGCCAGCTCCTCCCTCAACTCGCCTCCCATTTCGCTGTCACATCCAAATTAAAGACCAATCGACACGAATGTCAGTGGAAAGAGTGGGTAGGCTATGGGTAACCTAGGCATAACATTCAAAAATTTTCCCTTTAAAAGAATATCTTTTGAAAAACCTTGATTGTAATAGCCAAAGAAATATATTTCAAATCCAAACTTCATTTTGCTGAGTTCACTTCGACAAAATTTTCAGTTTATTACACGCTTTTGTAAGGGACTCATCTATTTTATTACGAAAAAACTGATCGAACTGTAGAAAACAACCTTTTCTAATTTTTAACAAATTTTTGTGTAAAAATTTCAATTTTCGTATACAAGCTCCCGGGAGCTCCCTTAAAACCAAAGCCAACTAGGAAGCAGGTCAAGCCGAAGACCTCCAGCATGAAGTCTGGCGATAAAAAAGATGAGTCGTTCGATGGATATTTGGAATTGCTTGCCGCGCGTGAGAACGACTTGACGGTATCAGCGTACGTCAACTTCTTGCGGGAATTTGATAAATGCTATTCCGATCGTTGGACCGACAAGGTGATATCAGATGTTGCTGCAGATCGATGGCACAAGATGTCTGTCGATCAACGTAATAAGTACTGCGAGGTAACTAGTTTTAATATTGCTTACTTAACCATTACTTATCTGAACCATTACTACTCCCCACAGAGGCCAGTTCAATTTGTTGATGAGGGCGATAATGACATTATTGAGGAAATTCCAATAATAGAGCCTCAAACAATGGTTATGACTTGTCCAAAGACAAGAAGCAGAAAGCCCAAGAAAGGAGCCGACAAGCCAAACGCTTCAAAGACCAAGAAAAGGAATGCTAAGCCGAAGCCCAAGAAGAGGTTGACGAATCCCAAGAAAGAATCTCCTCCCAAGAATAGCTCATGTTCTATTCAATAGTTCCATTCAATTTTCGGACATAATAAGCATCTAAAATTAAACTTATCTTAGCCAGATTGAGGGTAAATCTATGCTAGATCTAGGCAAACTACGCAAAATAAATGCATTATTCTTTATTGAAATAGCTAAACCTTATCTTACTACTAATATAAAACAAGAAGAGTCGCTATCGTCGAGTGCCACGACTATAAGATACACGTTAGTGTATTCATAGTAATATTATAGACGCCACATCCTGATCAAAAATATATATACTTTATAGGGTCGGAAGGGCTTCCTCCTGTTACATACTTTTCAACGAATCTACTATACCCTTTTACTCTACGAGTAAGGGGTATAATTAGGCAAATATTGATACCTGAACTTTGTATATATTTTCATTATCTTAGAAATGCGACCTACCTCACCGATTCAACGATTTTGTAAGAAAAGAAAACTGTAGAATTACATAAATACAAACACGATCGTTGATCAATTCATTTTATTCGTAACTCGATCGTATTATATTTCTGGGCTGTAACATTGAATTAAGTTTATAGCTTGTAATTGATGGGCGACGATGTGTGGTTGACTTTGTGAGGCACCGGGAAAACAGTCTCTGAAAAAGTAAGACAAATACATTCAAGCCACAAAAAGTCGCCAGTCTCTAAGATATAATTTACCTTGCATCACGCCTTAGTTCTTAGCGATCACCTTTATTATTACAATGGTAGATTAGTAACAAAATACAGCCGGCTATTACAACGAACAAATTAACTGCAATTATGAGTGGCTTGCTGTTCGCGTAGGTCATCATCTTGAATATGCTTTTTCGATTAATGGCCGGAAAAATAACGTTCTTCCCTCTCAAGAACACCAGAACGAATGATCGAGCTAGAAAGGTCGAGCCGAGAAAATCTCTCTCTTAGCTCAGTCAAATTCATTTTCCAATATCGCGACAGCTCGGAGAGAGTCGTATGGAAATCGAAATGCACTGAAAAGAGACATTTCTCTTAAGCGAATTTTTTCCCTTCTCTATATAGTCAGATAGGGCGATTGGGGTATATAGATTTGTTAATCATATCTTAGAATATTGAATACTTAACCTAAAACCTTTGCTGATATCATGCAATTAAAAGATAATGACCGAATGACCTAGCAAGATTAACATAAATCAGTCTTTGACCAGATAACGCCCTTTAATAAGACGCTAACTATATTGTTATTATCTGTAAGTCAGTATTTTTGGGCTTATTATCATGGCCCAAGCTTAATCCCGTCGTAATCTCCGCCAATGTTATCCGCCTAATATTTTTAATACCTTTTGTTCTGCCTAAAACTGGTTGCTAACTATTACACAGACCCCTAAATTAGTAGAAAGCTGTCGAAAATCTCATTACAGCAGTTATAGTTGTAATTTATAAACATATTTTCTGGTCAAATGAGTACTTAAGCTGTACAAATGTTTTCCATTCGTAAAAATATATGAATATCTGGAAAGTATTTGAACCTTTCTGGCAATAGCCTATTATATCTAATCCATGCCTCCCTGAAGCTACACTTCTAGATCATCATGTCCCAAAATATTAACGCTCATGTCACTATAATAGACAATTTTGGGTCCTCGCTGGCCTTTGAGCTCCAGGCGAATGGTACAGCCCGATAGAGGAAGCAGATAAAGCGACTTGCTAGGATCGCCCGTGCCGGTGATAACATCATGCAGGACACCGATTACACTGTGGTCAGCGTGCACTATGAACTTCAGCAGTAGCCGAGGATTTTGATTCGACTTAGACTGAGGTAGGACACCAAAGGTATAAAGGGTATCCTCCGTAACCTTCTGTCCGCTTCAGGGAAGGTGAAAACTCTTACTATTATATATTAAATACTTACAAATATGCTTACCAAAAGTTTTTATTGTTCGAGTCGTGGAAGAGCATCTCTACAAGAATAGCCATGAAGTCGATGCGTCTTTTGTGATCTACAAGCCGGTGGCTTTCGTCTACGATTCCGAAGAAGGTCTTGCCGAGCTCCACCTGCACATTCCAGTGGAACAGGCTCATCCCAAACCCTTTCAGTTGAAAATTTTGGAACTTCTGCGAGGACAAAATCATATGAAATGGTAAACTAAAGAGAAACCAAAACAGTTACTCACTCGCAGAAGGTCGAACAGCGTCATTGTATATTGAAGGCGTCTGACCCTAACTTCCGTGTTCTCCTTAGCACAGACCGTAGTTAATGGTCGTTCAAGGCGTGACAGAAACTGAACAATAAAAATGCAAAGCTGTTTAGTTTCCGAGAAGAACAAGTTGCGCCACTCATGGAAGGAGTTCAGACACAGAGCGAGGTCCGACTCGAAGTTTTCATAGTTGAAGTAACTAGTAGAATGCCGCATTACCTAAGGATAAATGGAATGTAAACTTAAGAAGTGCTTAGGATAAACCCACCTGCAGCATGATCCTTACACGTCGGCTTCCGTCACTCTCCCCCATTTTCTCCTGATAAGCTGCCTCGAAACACTTGTGCTGGCGCAATATATAAGCATTGCTCAACTCTTTCAACGCTGTCGATGCCGAACGAACTAATGTATGGCCCTCTATCCCCAAATGCGGTAAGACCTTCTCCATGACCTCGATCGGCAAGTCCAGAAGAGAAAGTGGCCTCCTATCTTTAGGTTCCTCCATCTGATGATCTGACTCTGGCATTTTAGATCTAGAATATTCGTGTCACCTCAAAACTATGTAAATGGTATAATGCTGGGAGTTTTTTAAGACAGCAAACTCTTTCGACTGAGATTGAAATTTGTATATAAATTATAAAAACATAAATGAGAAAGGAATTGGTAAAAAGCGCCTAAGAATGTGGATTTTACAATGACATATTTTGGCAAATTAATGCAAATTTGTAATTAATTATTAAAAAAATAGAAATAAAACATTTTACTCTCTGTGTAGAAATAGTAACAGACCCAAAAAATATATGTACCAGTGGAAACAAGCTATAACATAAGCTAAACATTTCATGGATAGAATCGCGGATAAGCCTTAGCAAATTTTCTAACCAAGGTTTGCGTCTGCGATGGGCAGATAAAAATCTGAAAATTTAGAGTATAACTATCGATATATTGGGTATTTTCGACAACCCTATTTCACAATCGCGCACCGCTCCGCGTAATAAATAAGAACGTTTTCAGCCAAAATCATTTGCAAGAAAAACCGAGAAAATTCCAAACGAAACACGGTGTGCGAGGCGGCAACTTTCGGTGTCCGTTCGAAATATACACAATATTTCGAGACCAAAATTGTGTCAGTGTAAAGTGCTTGGAGGCGGTGGCCACGCAATCCGGGCGACCGATCGTTGGATAACCTAGCGCGAAAACCGTAAAACCGCCGTAGTCATGGCGTTCCGGCTGCTTAGCTCAGCCAAAACGATGGCCGGAATGATGCGGCGCAACTATACGGCAGGTTCGCTAACGGGAAAGGTGACTTTACGGATGAAATTTACGGGGAATCAAAAATAAAAGCCCATCATTTTCTACCTTCAGGTACAACGCACATCCCCGACAGGTGCGACGGGTGTCGGTGTTTACATACTGCCCATGGAGCTATCTCCCCTGCTCCGCTATGTCGTCAAACAAATCCAGCTGCTCTGCAAGAAGCCCCCAAAGGGTTTCGAGAAATATTTCGAAGCCGGTGGCAAGACCTCTGGCCAACCGAAAGGAACTGCCGGCGACAAGAAGTCCCCTTCGGGCTCAAGTAAATCCGCCTCGGAGAAGCCCAGCACATCGTCACCCGCCTCGGCTAATCCCTCCCGATCCCAAGCTGAATCCAAATCGGACTGGAATTTCGGCATGTTCAGTAATAGCTCCAGGGGACCGGCGGGAAGGACAGGCAGTACGCCGGGAGGAAGGCCTTTAGGAGAGTCCGGTGGCGGCGGGGATAGGGAGCGGTGGATCCTTTTAGGCGCCATCGGAGCCGTGGTTCTGGTAGGTTCGTTTGCCTTCTTCGAAATGGGCTACAAGGAGATCTCATGGAAGGAGTTCGTCAATAGGTGAGGTTAAGAAATACATATTTAAAGAACACTTTCCTTTTGAATGCTCTCATGGTTCATTCCATATGCTCTTTGATTTCCAGTGAGTTATTTAAGTTTGAGTTTTAAAGTTCCAATCTGACCAACATATTCTGTAAAAGACACGATCTAATACGAATGTTATCCAAATACAGGGAACTACTAATCGTTTCCTTCTTGTCCCCTACCAATAAATAGCTACCTATCGAAGGGCGTAGTGGAAAAGCTGGAGGTGGTCAACAAGAAATGGGTGCGCGTGCGTCTTCAGCAGAACAGCAACAGCGGTAGTGGTGTCTTGTGGTTCAACATTGGCAGTGTGGATAGCTTCGAGCGGAATCTTGAGACAGCCCAGACGGAGCAGGGAACGGAGTCCATTAACTTTGTGCCCGTGATCTACCGCAACGAGGTGGAAGCTGCCAGTTTAACGGGTTTGCTGCCCACACTGCTTATCATCGGCTTTTTGGTTTATATGATGCGCAAGTCGGCGGATATGATGGGTGGTGGCCGAGGACGTAAGGGTGGCGGCCTCTTTGGAGGCGTCATGCAGTCCACCGCTAAGTTGACCAATCCCACCGAGATTGGAGTGGGTTTCAAGTAAGTTCGATGCACTATGATCTGCATTCTTAAAAGTAACACACTTTAATTACAGGGATGTTGCCGGTTGCGAGGAGGCCAAGATCGAGATCATGGAGTTCGTGAACTTCCTGAAGAACCCGCAGCAGTATATAGATCTCGGCGCCAAGATACCAAAGGGGGCCATGCTAACCGGCCCACCCGGCACGGGTAAAACGCTTCTGGCCAAGGCCACCGCCGGCGAAGCTAATGTGCCCTTCATAACCGTGTCCGGCTCAGAGTTTCTCGAGATGTTTGTGGGCGTGGGACCTTCGCGTGTTCGTGACATGTTCGCCATGGCCCGCAAGCATGCACCCTGCATCCTATTTATTGACGAAATCGACGCTGTGGGTCGGAAACGTGGAGGAAAGACCTTCGGCGGCCACTCTGAGCAGGAGAATACCCTCAACCAACTTCTGGTTGAGATGGATGGTTTTAATACAACAACGAATGTGGTGGTGCTGGCGGCCACTAACCGTGTAGATATTCTCGACAAGGCCCTTATGCGGCCGGGTCGCTTCGATCGACAGATTTATGTCCCAGCTCCGGACATTAAGGGCCGGGCGAGCATCTTCAAGGTGCATCTGGGCAACCTGAAGACATCGCTAGACAAGAATGAGCTGAGCAGGAAGATGGCGGCTCTGACGCCTGGTTTCACAGGTGCCGATATAGCCAACGTGTGTAATGAAGCTGCTTTGATCGCTGCCCGCGACTCCAAGGATTCGATTATTCTGAAGCACTTTGAGCAGGCCATTGAACGTGTCATTGCTGGCATGGAGAAGAAGACCAATGTCCTGGCCCCAGAGGAAAAGCGAACGGTGGCACACCACGAAGCTGGCCATGCAGTGGCCGGTTGGTTCCTGGAGCACGCTGATCCCCTGCTTAAGGTATCAATAATCCCTCGCGGTAAAGGTCTTGGCTACGCCCAGTATCTGCCTAAAGATCACTATTTGCTGTCCAAGGAGCAGCTGTTCGATCGCATGTGCATGACCCTCGGTGGCCGTGTGGCCGAAGAGCTGTTCTTCAATCGCATTACCACTGGTGCTCAGGATGATTTGAAGAAGATCACCGACATTGCCTACTCCCAGGTGGTGCGTTTCGGCATGAACGAGAAGGTCGGACAGGTTAGCTTCGATGTGGGCCAGGCTGGTGATCCGGTCTTCAGCAAGCCCTACTCAGAAGACACTGCCCAGCTAATCGACGGCGAGGTGCGGTCTATTATCAAGTGCGCCCATGAGGCCACCACTAGTCTCTTGACCAAGCACAAAGAGGATGTGCAAAAAGTGGCGGAAAGACTGCTGCAAAACGAGGTTCTCAGTCGCGATGATATGATCGAGCTGCTGGGACCCCGACCATTCAAGGAGAAGTCCACCTACGAGGAGTTCGTTGAGGGTACCGGCTCCTTTGAAGAGGACACCACTCTGCCCGAAGGCCTTAAAAGCTGGAACAAGGAAAAGGAGCGCCCAGAGCCCCTAGACTCTGGCACGCCCACTCCACCGCCCACCAAACCAGTAACTGCCCAGAGCAGTTAGGCCAGGTCTTTGATGGTCATGGTCTTGGGTGGATGGGGAGTTTTGGTGAGGTAGTTCGAGGGTGCCGACATCTCTTTGTTTTTGTTGTAGTCCCTCAACGCGGAACGGAGAAAACCCCGACCTGTGGCACATTGAGAGGGCTCAAGGAGTTCCTAGACCTTCTGGAGTACCAGTTCTCCACGACGCGTTCATCATTGTTTTTGAATATTTTTAAGATAGCCCCATGGATACCTCGTTCCAGTGTTGAGCAAATAAGCGCTAGCCCGTACTAAATTTCCCGTATGCCGTATTTTCAAACCTGTTAGTGTGGGAAAACGAAATTAAACGATGTTTTGAAGTCGAAGAAGATTTATAGTTTTATTTTTACGGTGAATGGTTATACATTTTTGGAAATTTCCATAACTTTTGGAAAACTGAAAAGTTTAAATTAATAACACGTAGGAACAAAAAAGATTATAAGTCTGAAACCTGAAATGCATATAATAACAATAACAATCATTTTGTCCATCTTTCTGAATTTCAAGAAACTGTATAGACGTTGTATAAAACATTTGATGGATAATTTAATATATATTAGAGTAAAATAATATTCAAAATACTTTAATTTTCTCATTAAAAATGGTAACGTTATATGCTAACAGATTTAAGGATAATACTTCATACATTTTTCGAATTAGTTAAACAATATTACTTTAGAAGTTCTTTAAAGAATTTTTGCTATAAAAAAATGGTGTTGCAAACTTTTCCTCCTATTTAAATAAACACCAATTTGTAGTACATTTAAAAATTTTGGTTGGGGGAGTTTTGGTGCTTAAAAGACTTTTTGCTGTATTTATGTAATTTTCGGCAACTCTAGCTGTTTTTTAAGTTATGGGACAAACTTTTGAACTCCCTTATCAAAATATTTCTTCGTCAGATCACACGTCTTAGTTTGTTTGTTAACTTTTATATACATAGTAGTCGCCTTCTTGAAAGTAAACGAAGTCTTCGTCATGTCAGAATCAAGTGATAGTTTAAAAAAGAGCTCACTAAAATGTCATTAAGCTCAAAGGTGAAGAATTTTTTAAATAAAGAAACCACTCTCTGGTTTCTTTCAGAATATAGAAAGTAGACTATAAAGACGGCCAACGGGTTCTTTAATTAAAAACATTTTTGCTTACTTTTGTATATGGTATAAAAGTTTTTCTTAAAATCAAAAGGTTCGTAAAACTTACGTAAGCGCGACGAAGAATAGTCATAAGGAATATTGCTTCCCTTTTAAAATAAAATAATCCTTTCTTTACAGGCTCTAACTTATACTATTATTTATCGCTGTGTAAACTTTGAAAAGCTGTTATTTGTTTAAGAGAAGGCCGGTCTCTTTGTGAAGCTTTCTCAGTGAACTTTCCTTGTCCACTCTTTACCACTCTCGCCGGCTGCCAATGGTTCTCTTTCTCGCTGCGGCTTATCACTTATCAGCTGTGATGCTGAAGTACATGCGCCATGTGCAGCCGGTAAATAGTGCAACTGCCGCAGTCGCCACCTCTGCTGCTGCCTCTGTCAACGCAAAGCTCTAGTGGGGGCAGCAGCAACTACAACAAAAACAACACCAGCAGCAGAGAGTGCAGCAGTGCAGTCGACGTCGCTGCCGCCGGTCGTTTGGGGCCGTCAGTTGGGTTTTGGGGTCTCGCCGCTCAGTGTCGTCTTGTTGGTTGTCGCGTTCGTGTGCGCGCACTGAGAAAAACGGAACGCCACCGTTGCACTTTCCGTTGCAATTTTGATATATTGTTCGAGTCGCCCGATTTCTAAGTTTTGCCCGTGAAGTGCGTGCATTTAAACACAAAACCAACTATCAAATCGCTTACAAGATACAACCAATTTAAAATATCCAAAGGCAGAAGAGGAAAATTGCCTGCTGTTGGAGGGCATTTGCATTTTGTTTACCTCGATGGCTGTGTGGAGTGCAATTTGACGATTATATAATATAAAACAAAATACAAGAAAATATAGGCAAAACAAATATAAGTGCGCGGCATTCGATTTTAATTGCAAGCAACTACAATAACCACTGAAGAAGAAGAAGAATGAGTTAAAGCGCAACCCTCTCTTTCGCCCGCCGCCCTTCCTCACGCTCTCAGCCCCGTGGGCCATTGCTTTTGTGTTGATCTTTCCTGCAAAATGGCTGCCGGCCGGCTAAATAACGGCAATATTGATATTTGATCGTTAGGGTGGGGAGGGAGAGATGTGAATATAAGTGATTTTCAGGATTCATTTAATATTTTTAGTTATTAGGTTATATATTTTTGACATTATATTTCATTTTATAATGGCAAACAACTTATTTACAGAAATCTTTGTGGTATATTCCACAAAAGTAAATAAACTAATAATTTTATTTTATATTATATATATATTATATATTATATTTTTGACCTTAATCAATAGGATAAATAAAAAAGTGATACCATATTTTCGTTTTAAATGTAACCAAAATTCTTACTCATAATTTTAACGATCAAAAAAGATTGATTTATCCCAAAAGAGAGGATTTTAGCAAACAGCTTTTTCCGATCACCCAATCGTACGGTAACTTCGATCACCGATCAATAGACCTCCCCCAGTCGTCGATCACTGGTCACACATGTCTTATTTTAGTTCGGTTTTAGTTTCGTCGTTTATTTTGTTTTATTTTGTGCTGCCAATTGTCGCAATTGTCGGGTCACGTGTTTGTTGCTGCCGCCAGTTAACTTCTGCTCTCGTTGTAACGGTGCATGTTCGCTGCGTGCGCTTGTGTGGGTGTACGTTGGTGTGTGTGAGTGTCTGTTTGTGAAAGCTTGCATGCTGCGCGTTATTATATTGTTGTTGTTGTTTTTGTTTTTGTTGAGGGAGTCGCTGCATGCAATGTTCTTCTTGCCCTTTCGCACTCTCCCTCACTGTCTCTCTATGTCTATCTCCCTCTGTTTCTATCTTTCTCTACTATTTGTTGTTGTGTTTTATTGTTATTGTTGTTGTTGTGGGTGTGGGAAAGATCAAGGCGCGTATTAAACCCAGAAAACGCAAAAAAAATGCAGTCAAAATGTAGGAAAAACAAAAAAAAATCAGAGGGAAAGCAACGGCAAATAATGGCATTAACAACAAAAGTTCAAAGCCATAAAATTTGGATGCCTGAATTTTTGAATTACTGAAAAAAAGTTTGGCGAATTCTACGTGATTTTCCCTCCACAGAATATAAATAGTTTCTAAGAATTTTTAAAAAATTAACTTTTTTACTTAAAAAAATTATATTAAAATGTAAAATTTGTTTATAAAAGTTTGACTATTAAAGGATTTTAAATTAATAAAAATCTGAAAGTAATTCACACGAAAATAAATAAAGTAGAAAATATATTCTCTAGACTTAACTAATATATTTAAGCCTTGCAATAACATTTGGCATTTAATAAAATTGAACATATTTTTATTTTATTTTTGCAAGACAATAAATTTAGTAAGAACTACTCACAATAACACGGAAGTTTTTGTTATTAAATATTTTGATGGATTTTCATGACATCACCACCACCCGACTTTTCTTCTTCGTTCGTTTTTTGATTGAAAATCTTAAGAAGGTGCTTTCATTTTGGTAAATTAATTTGATGGCTGATGCCATATAAAGTGAGGCAAATTTATTTCAAACAAAGATCTTTTTGCACTCTAAGTACTGCATCCCAATTGTCACTCAGCCGTCACAGTGCCGCCCCTTTTTCCGCCCGTTTCTCACCTACCTTTTCCACTGTTTTCCTCCCTGCCTCTCTCTTTCGCTTTTCACCTCATGGGTTGCACTTTTTTTGCATTTTACGATTGTTCGTTGCGAATCATTGCATTTTAAAGGGGGTAGTGCGGGTGTTATTGCAGCAGCTGCGGATGGAAGGAAGAAAAGGGGAGAGAGAGAGCTGGTGGGGCGGTTGCCGAAGGGGGAAATTGCCTTTTCAAAAGTTCCCCGGGCAAAGTTTAAAATTGCAATTTAATTAATTTCTACCAAACACAACCGAAAACAAAACGAAACAGATCTTTTGCAGTAATATGTTGCCTTTAAATCAATTGGGAAACCAGCAACCAAAGTTAACGCAACGTTTCTAAAACTTAAAGTCTAAATACCAAATAAAAAATAAAAACAAATACAAAATACAAAGTTATAAACAAAACCAAAAGTGGCCTGCAAAACGAAGCAACCAAAACAACCAAGAAATGTGATTCAAAGTGTGCAATGTAACCAAATTATTAGTAAAAACCTAAATAAAAAATAAAACAAAAACCAAAGGAAAGGAAAAGCCGTGAAAAATCAGCGGAAAAACCAAAGCCTGGCCAAATGGAAATCAAGGAATCGGGAAGCCAATCGAATAGCCAACTAGCAGCCAACGTGGCCAATGATTAAGGGAACACTTTGTTAGCCAACTCGTAGTAGCAGCATCCCCCCGTCCACACACATAACACCCAGAACACAGCAACACACAGAACCATTCGACCTCCCTCGCAGCGCTCGATGCCCGGAAAGAAGGCGTTGGAGCAACAATTATAGAATAGACAGTCAGAAAACCACATCAGCATCTGAACTCCGAACTCCGAACTCCCAGCTCTGAACTACTAGCTCCAGCTCCAATTCAATCTCAATCCCGAGCCACAGCCCCCAACATGGACATCAAGATTGAGCAGCAGCAGCAGCAGCAACAACAGCAAGTGGAGCTGGGACCCTGCTCCCCATCGGAGGTGCCCAATGATCCCGGGTAAGTGTGTGGGCATTATATCGGGGATACCCTTTCAGAATGATGAAAAGTGGGAGAAGGCATTTTAGGCAGTTTTGAAGGGTTTTCTGGGGTTTCAAGTTGATACATGATCAAGTTTCCGAAATAAAGAAAGCCTTAATTTGAAGCTTAATTTTTTCTTTTAAGAGACTCCTCCTTATCCCTAAAATTCCTTAAAAGATACTCCATCCGTTTTTCAAGAAAGATTACTCAATATTCCGAAAGGGCATACAAACTTCGAAGTGCCAAAGTAAAGATAAACTTTTTTATTTAGTTTGAGGTCGTGGACGTGGCATTAATTGTTTAAGTTTTAAGTTTGTCATTATTGAAGCTCAGGGCGCCGGAAGGGAATGGAGTGGGGAGTAGCCGTTGGCGAGTGTCCTGGGGGAGTGGTGTCAAGGCAGTTAGAGTTGTTGACAGAAAGTTTTCTATGTCAACTAGGGCCGGAACTGGCCAAAACTGGCCAGAAATGGACGTCGGCCCAGCTGGGGATCCAAGTCTGCGAAACTAATTAGAAAACAATTTGCCAAGGACATCAAAATTCAATTAAAGCCATTCGGCTTAGTGCTTTAGTGCAATGCAGTTACGGCTCTCGGCTCGCTTTCATCCTTCCGGCTACAGTTTATAATCAGTACGATTTTAAACCCTTCACCCCTACCTCTTAGCCCCCTTTGCATTCCACCACATACATACATATATCTGGGGCAAAATAGGTTAAGTTGTGATTGCGGTGTCATATGCAGCAGATTAATTGCGAGCTGCATTGCTGATAATTTGCATCGGTCGGCAGTTGGGCTCTCGGTGGTCGGTGTGCCGTTTGGCTGTCAGAAAGTCAGACTAACAAATGGATGATGATCCACTGATTGGCAGCCAACTAGACTGATTGAAGGTACTGTTTGGCTGGACTTTTGACGCAGCCCATAAAGTGAGCCAATCAAGGGGATAGTCGGTGTTTATGTGTGAATGTTTAGGGAAATAACTGCGATAGTAGCTAAGGATAAACACTGGAAAAGCTAACAAAAATGTTCTAAACTTAAATTTAAAAATTATTTAAAGACTCTAATAACGTGAAACATATCTATGACTATCCAATAAAGCATTAACCTAATTAGAGTCACTTCCTAAAATTGTGCTAACTAAATAAATTATAGCTATTTTGATAAATATTGGTTTATTTTTATGAATTAATAATCTTTTTAAATAAAAATAAATTGCTGCGTTTTTATGACAAAATTTCAATGCAATTTCAAACTGATAAGCAAATTATTTTAAATTAAATAATTTGGCAAGCTATTTAGTTTGAAAGTTTATAAAGTTAAATGTGTTAAATGTTAAAAAGAGATATTAATTTAGTAATATTTATTAAGCTCCATTTGCCCGCCTTAACGAAGTAACTTTCATGAGAAGCGCCGAGAAGGGCTGAACAACTGCTATAAGCCACTTTCCACCAGATAAACCCTTTGTCATTTAAGTTTTCCAGAGAGAAATCCCCTCTCGAAATAGAAAAAAAAAGATAGATATAGGCAAAAGACATAGGTACAACCATATGGCACGGACAGCCGTCGCAATCCATTGAACACGCAATGCCCATAAATTATGCAGTTCATGCATACACATCCCCGAAGATGTACGGTTATAAATATATCTATTATCGAAATGCTGCAAATTGTATAACCCCGAGTGAATTTCAGCACTCCACATGGGGGAGGGGACGAGGCGGTGGAGCTGATTGCAGCTCATCTTGTCTATTTGCATTAGTTTGGCAAACTTGCAACACAGCGCGGCAAGCAAAAATAGGCTGGGCTGGGCTGTCGACTCTTGCCTTTTTCCCTCCAAATCCCTTGCCATCAGTTTTCCTTGTGGCGGGAAAGCGGAGGCCACCGGATAAAAGAAATGGATCACCTGCTGCTCGCTGAGCTCCGACGATGCTGGCAGGTGCAACAACTGCAACTGCAACTGAAACACCAGCAGCTAGTGCAACTCAAGCAAATGCAGATGGTGATGGAGTGTGGTTGTACCTAATGCTAGTGAAGTTTTTACTTGAGAGAAATAAAAATTTTAAGAGTTTTTAATAATTTAGAGAAGTGTTTAAGACCATAGAGTGTGTTCCAATTATATTTTTTAATTAAAAGATATTTTTACTAGGATTTTATTCTGTTTTCTGGATAATTCTGGAAAATTTTCTTAGATGGATTAATACTTTTAACATATCCAAAGTAAGATTTTACATCTTGAGTATCTTTTATCCCTAAAAAGTATCTATCTTTTGCACCTTGTACCCTCCACTAAGTAAATGCGATACCTTTCCCATCACTGATTGCAACATGAAGTTAGGTAAAAGTTTTGTGGCGATGCGAATGGGAAATGTGGCACCTAGCGAATGTTGAATGCATAAATCTTGAATTAATTCAAAATACCTTTTGATGACGCTGCCCAGATACAAACACAGATACAGCTACAGATGCATCCGCCACCGTGGTGCACTGGTATCTGTGGCACTGTATCTTTCTCTATTTTGGTTGTGCAACTTGGCGAATATCGTTGGAAACATGCGAATACAATTCCATTCACAGTTTCGTTGACTGGCGCGGCGATCGCCACGGCTCAGTAATTTTGAACGCTACCGCCCGCTCCTCCTTTCCCCACCTTCCACCACACAACCCGCGCGCTGACGACGCCCCTCGCCACCCACTCTTTTGGCAAACTTTATAAAATCTTTTGAAGGGCCCAAGGAAAATAGAAAATAAAAGAAGACGAGCTGCCTGCTCGGCGCAAAATAGCAAAGTAAATAAACACAAAGGCGAAAGAAAATGAAAATAAAACAAACGGAAAAGCAAAAACCAAAAAACAACACACAAAACTTTGAAATAACTAAATAAATGCCCTGCTATTAATACAATTCACTTTGCCAAAGTATTTTTAGTGCAAATGCAGCAAACATCGAGCGAGAGAGATCGCTTTGTAGAGTGATCGATCTTCGTGATACCTTGTTTATTTCAGCTTAGGATGGAGTCTATCAAATGTTAGATAAGTTTCCTTTAACTTTTTCATAAGCAGTTCTTAATAATCTTATGCATTCAACTCATAGAGAAGGCTTTTCTTAGACCATTTTTGATTGCATTTTTATGACTCTTTTGAAAGGAAATGTTGTAATGAATCTCAATCTATAGATATTATTTGCACAATTTTAAAGACTCCATAATTGAGTTCTGACTTGTTGGTAATATTATAATCTTATCCTCAGTTGTATTTTATCAACTTGAAATTAAGTGGCTTAAAATTATTTTTAAAAGTAATTATAGTTTGCTGATTAGAATAAATTTGGGTTTTGTTTTTGATATATCTTCCAATTTAGTTAGTATTTTAAGTTAGTTAATGGCTTTATTGGTAGTTATAATTTATAAAGCTAATCTCGTAGAGATAAGTTCCGCAATGAGTCATTTCAAAAATGTATAATTCTGCCCAGAACTATTCTGAGAAACATTAATCCCAAGCTAATTAGCTGAAACTCCACCCCAATGACTATAGGAAAGAGTTTTTCCTGAACCATCAGCGGGGTTTGACCCCGTGCAGAATCAACAAGTGCGCCTTTTGGGTGGCTCCCACACCTTCGCATCGCTAATCCCGCCACCGCTACCCTCTCGATCCGCTCAAGAATGCCTCTCATCGGCATGCGAGTCCGACAATTATCCATTAGAACAGAAACGACACGCGGACGTGGACACCAAGTGGAGGAAAGGCCATAGCTAGTGGCGGAGCCAGCGGCAGAAGGCAAGAAATATGCAAACAAAAAATTGGTCCAGGCCCCTGCCTCATTTAACGTGGCCCCAAAAATTGTGCATCGCATCGACAGACGACTGTCAGTGGAATTGCGATTGCTGTTGCCGTTGCCGTTGCCGATGACGATGCCGCTGCCGATTCCGATTGCAATGGCAATTGCAATTGCACTCGCTGCTCTTTTCATAATTGTCGTTTTGTTTCTAGTCCCTGTCTCTGTCGCTCTCCCGGCGCTTGTAATTGCGGCTTTGTTACGTACCGTAAATTGATTCATTGTACGCCGTGCTTTGAGCACGGACTGACCCATTCCCAGTGCCACCACTACCATCACTGCCATCACCGTGTTTGTCTGATATAATTGCTTTCAAATGATTTTGTGTCGTTGTATGCGCACTTTCATATTGCCCGTAGTTTTGTTTGTTTGTTTGTTTGTTGTCCGTAACGTAAACGCAACTGTCATTGTCCCGTAGTCCGTGCTCTGTGCTCCGTACGCCGTATGTTTGCCCGCTGAACGGCTGCTCGTCCGTCCGGCCAATAAGCTTCCATTTTGTATGCATAATGAGGCCTGCGGCAATTTGACTCTAGGACAGCCATTAGCTCAAAGTGCCAGCTTTGTTGGTTAGCATCTCTCCCAGGCGAATATTATTTTACGGCCGAAACACTCATGCTGAAATAATTTACTCAGAGAGATGATTTAAAATTTAACTAAATTTGGATATATGAATGACAACAATGGTTCATAAATCTAAATAGTTCTCACAAAAATGTCAAATTATTAATCTTAAAAAGCCACTTGTTATAAAGTTCTGTCAAAATAAAAAAAAAGTTAAAAATTAAGAAACATAATAAAGCAATTAAGTAAGAATATAAACTATAGCTTACACTCCGTTGTTTATCCCACAATTCCTGGCGATCGTTTATCCTTGTGAAAAGTCAACAGTTGTCCTTTTGCTGCCAATGAAGTGTTTTAAATATGTTAACAAATTGCGAGTTATTGGCTCTCAATGGGACTTAAATGTTTGTTTGCGGGTGAGTTGTGCTTGGGCTTATGTTCCAGCACTGAGCATATGTAAATTGGCCTATTGTTCGCAGAAGCAGTAAGTTGTTATGGCATTTGTGGGTGGATAATGTCTGCCAGATATATATATATATATATATATAGAAAGAGATATAAGTAAGAGGTCCACTTAAACCGCAAGAATGGC